AGAGAGAGAGAGAGAGAGAGAGAGAAAACAGAGAAAAAGAAGGAAAAAATTAAAAACAACCAAAAATTTATTTAAAAAAAAAAGCAAAAAATTAAAAACCGTGTGGCGCACAAGCAGCCCTCAAAATCACTAGTTCTCAGGAGCCATGGAGGAGTCTTCTTCTGAAGGCCTGTCCCTTGCCTCTCCTGGATGGGAAGAGACAAGGGGATTATTAGTGAGATAAAGCTGGGGCTGAAAGCCAAGAGAATACTTTACCTTAAAAAAATTTTTAAAAGGAAATATTACAAAAAAAATTAGAAGACAGAGATAGAGAGAAGGCTAGTGGGGCTCCCTACCACTCAAGTTTGGGGGCTGGAGGCTGAATTATCAGTTGAAAATCATTTCTCTTTTTTCCCTGAAATCACTAATTCTCAGGAGCCATGAAGGCATCTTCTTCTCTCTGGTAAATATTTAACAACTGGTACTGAGAAACAAAGAAAGAAAAGCTTGATTTGTAGGATTTGCCAATCTTCATGGTGTAAATATTCTCACCATACCTAGGTTCAAGCTACCAATGTAATGTCACTGAAAACAGAGCTAGGAATAAGTGTATTCAACTGGTTCTCAGGACCCTTATAAGCATACTCCAGCACACTGCCTGCATGTAACTAGTTCACATTTTCTCCCTAGCTGTATGTACAAAGGAAAGTTTCTTGTTTTTGTTTCTGTTTTTTTTTTTTTTTAAGACAGATTTTTGCTATAGGGCATATGTGATTGCTGGAGAGAGAGAAAGAGAGACAGAGAGACAGAAAGTGAGAAATCACCCCTCTGGGGGATGGCCACACTGCAATCCCTTCTCCTCCATTCTCCCCTCAGGATCTTGGGCACGCATGCACACACATCAGACATAAGTTTAAAGTAGCCAGGTCCAGGACTTGAACTGCAATCAACTATGTGGAAATCCAGCAACATAACCATTATGCCATCTGCTGGTCCAGGAAAGCTTTTTAAAGTGGAATGTATATAAAAAATGGGGCTGGCAGGTGGCATGGTGTTTAAGGGTGCTGGACTCCCATATGGCTGACCAGTTTGAGTCCTGGGCGTGGTGGCTTGCTTTCTCACTTTCTCTCTTCTCTGTCTCTCTGGTCAAATTTAAATAAATAAACAAATAAATAAAGCTAAATAAAATAATGTTTAAAAATGAAACACATATAAAAATGCTTGGGGCTAGCAGGTGGCGTACAGGTTAAGGCAGCTGGACCACATGACCAACTGCACAGTTTGAGTCCTGACCCAGCAGCTTGATAATTGCACCACTGGGCATGTGTGCATGTGTGCCCAAAATCCCCAGAGGAGAGAGAGGAGGCGAGGAGAAGGGATTGTGGCATGGCCATCCTCCCTAGGGATGTTTTCTTACTTTATCTCTCTCTTTTACATAATGTTTCTTTGTTCTGAAAACACAAATCAATGAATTTTCTTTTTGTTCTGCAAAGAGGAAGCAAAGATTTTATTTTATTTATTTATCTTCTGCCAAAGATTTTATTCTGAAATTAAGATAGCAAGACAATATGGCTCCAAGTACTGAACCAAGCTTTGGATAATGTAAGATGCTCCATAATGTAGTCCTCCATCCTCCAGACTCTCTCTCTAAAAACATTCTTTTATAGAGACCAGTGTGTGGTACGGTGGTTAAGGAGCTGGACTCCTATATGGCCAACTGTGGTTCAAATCCCAGACCTGGTGACTTATTTTCTCACTTTCCCTCTCTCTGTCTCTGTCTCTCTCTGGTCAAAATAATAATAAACAAAATCTTTTTTTTGGAGAGGTTTTCGCTATAGGGCACGTGAGCTCGCCAGAAAGACAGAGAGAGACAGAGAGACAGAAAGCAAGAAATCACTCCCCAGAGGGGATGGCCACGCTGCAATCCCTTCTCTTCCATTCTCCTCTTGGGATCTTGGGCACACGGGCACATGCGCCTGGTGAGTTTAAGCTGATGGGTCCAGGACTCGAACCACAGTCGACTATATGAAAGTCCAGCAACACAGCTGCCTCATATTGAAGAAGAACTATTAGGCTGACTAGACTGGGGTTGCAGACCTAGTATATCTAAAGTCCATCTATCTAAAGACCCTCCAGGGTGTTACTCCAGATTGAATAACCTAGATTTGGAGAAATCTAAGAATGGGGAGTGCTGGGTTCTGGAGCATTGTCCTTGTAGGGCTCTCGTGGCAAGGTCAACCCCACAGTAAGCAGATATTCTGAGTCTCAACCATCCTATAAAGGGAGAGAGGGACCCAGAACCTGTGCACTTCACCTTGACACAATACTGTACTACACAATTTATTTCCACATAGAAAGCACTGTCTACTAAACAAAATATATAGAATAATGGTTGAGAGTCAAATACTAAAGCCAGTGAGACTCTGATCTAAATTTTTATTTTGGCATTTAGTTCTGAGAGACCTTGAGCATTTTATTTAACTTCTCTGAACCTCAGTTTCCTTATCTGAGGAAAATAGTGATTTTAATTGTACCAACTTCCCAGAATTTTTTTTTTTCTTGGAGAGGTTTTTGCTATAGGGCTTGTGTGCTCGCCAGGAAGACAGAGAGACAGAAAGCCAGAAATCACTCCCCAGGAGGGATGGCCATGCCACAGTCCCTTCTCCTCCATTCTCCCCTCAGGATCTTGGGCACACACGCACATATGCCTGGCATGAGTTTAAGCCACTGGGTCTGAGACTTGAACCATGGTCGACTACATGGGAGTCCAACAACATAGCCATTATGCTAACTGCTGGGCCCCCTAGAATTATTCTGAGGATTAAATTAGATAATAAAGTACTTAGCCTTCATTATTTATTTATTTGTTTGAGCTTTCACTAAGTGTTCATAATAATCATGACAATAATAACTTTTCAGACCATCTTTTGGAGTCTAGGTGCCTAACATAAGTAGTATTTTTGTCATCTGAACACTTAGTTTTTTCTAAGTCTCAGTCCAGATGTGTAATTGTTTTCAAGTTTAGAGTGGTAACTATCTACTTTTGGGTAGAAGACATACAGGAAACAAAATAGAAAGTCTTCATTTCCAAGGTGGCTTGGGTGGGTTGTAATGATTCGTGAGATGCAATTTCGGAGTGAAGATATTGAATTTTGAGAAGATATCAGTCATTTCAAGGGTAACGCTGACACGCATCTTTAATCAGAATCTCTTGGACGACTATTTGGAAATGGTGCTTTCACTTATACCATAGCTTATGTGAACACTAAAGTTATCTCAAGCCATCAGCAAATGTTGATAGGGCCATCCTGCCTAAGAACTGAAAGTCACCTAGATCTGATGAAATTGTCCTTAGCTTGTTCCTCATCTTGGACTCTTCATTATGTATTTAGTTTTAGCTGGTGACATGAGAATATAAATCTTATTTTAATTAAACCATCCCTAAAGTCCTGTTAATGCTCTGCATGAGAGAACTGGTATTTATGAAGAAGCTTCCATTTTACCCTAATTTTGACTAAATACAAGATAGACTGTTATAAAACCATTGAGGATGATCGGGGCTGGATTTTTGCAATGATTTTTATCTCTGCTATTTCTGGCATTGACTAAGATTTTAGGCAAAGGAGGCATGGAGGACCTAGCAACAATAGCTAGCATGCTTCCTGGTTGCTAGCAACAGTAAATACCAAGGAGACACACGGACACAAAGACTCAGCCTTTCACAGGCACACAGTGTAACACTGAGCCGGGTTTCTTATTTCAGATACATCAGAGTCCTCCAGGTTGAACACAATGCCTTCTTCCTCCCCTTTGCATTAGATTTTTAAAATTTTGTACAGAAATACATATCCAGGAGCCCACTTGACCATCTTGGTTCTAAATTTGTCCAAGAACAGTTATATCCTACCATCTCAGTACTGTCATTTTTTTACTTTTTTGGGGGAGAAATGGAAAGAAATAGTTTTGTATATCTGACTTGAGAATTTTAAATAATGAGTAATTTGTTTACATTATTTCTAACTGTAATAGTTACAACTGATTTCCACCCTTCTAAAAATATTCAGGAATACTATCTGAAAGATTTTCTGTTCCAAGTTTATTCTCTAATTTGTTTTTATAAAAGGTAGAAGCATAGACAGTATGAAATACAGCACTGACAATTTAAGATTTTTTCCATGAGTCATTCAAATAAATTGCATAATAGCCTTTCCTTGCCAAAGTCACACACTTCTTCTCAAATACCTTGCTATTTTCCTTAATTCCCTAACCCTTGTCCCTCTTTCTATCTTTTCTACATACTATTAATTTTTTCCTCCTTTCTCTAGGGCTGTAAAACTCTTTAGGGTATAATCATGTGATATGCAAGGTGATAACAGAAATCTAAAGTACCCCAACCTTGCTAGTCTGTCTCCTAGCAACCATAGGACATGTTGCTTAGTAACATGGGAGAGAGGAGGGAGAGTGAAAATCACTCTTATATATCTAAAAATACTTACGTCATTTTTAAAAAGACTAATAGTGGGCTTATTTATTAAAATATACTAAATCCAGAGACAATCTTACCATCAAGGAGACTTATTTCAAGGCTCTGCTATTTTGAATAAACGTCTACATCTCTTATAATCTGTTCACTAAAATGACAGATTGCTGTTCATATATATAAATAAATGAAGAGGGAAAAAGAGATTCTTTTCTAACCCTTTATCTTCTACACATGCATAATCAATGTTTAAGTCTAAGAGGAACGGAGAATTGTCTCCTAAGTGATCTTTTACACTGATCAGATTTTTTTAAATGCAGCCTTTTCTAACTCGTTCTCTTCTGTGCATGCATAATCAATTTTCAAATCTAAAATGTTTCTTTAAACGTCCTTTTAAGCAGAATATAAATCTTTTCATTGGGAGTTATGTCTTTTAGAGTTAAAACCATAAAAAGAATAATTCTCAATTATCCAGAGATTATTCAATTTTGAAATAACTGAATCACAACAAACATTAAAGTTGTTTAGTTCCAAAAGTATAAATATTAATTCTAAAATAATATTGTTTACGTAATCAGACCTATTAAGTCAGACTCTAATTGAGGAACTGGAAATCTACATTTCTTCTTTTTTGTTAACATGCCGGAGGGCATGTGCACGCTCCAAAGAGAGACAGAGAGAGAGAGGGAAGGAGAGAAAGCACCTCCCCATAAACGTGGTCACACTGCCATCCCTTCTCTGCCATTTCTCCCTCCATTTGAGATTTGGGGTGTGCACACAAACGCACCAGCATGGTTTTCAAGCCACTGGGTCCAGGATTCAAACTGTAAAGTCAAGTTGGGACCCGTGGGATCCAGTTGCCTTTACCACCAAACCATGGGCTGGCCCCTAAATCTATATTCCTTAACTAGCACCCCAATGGCTTCAGCACATTTAGGAAATACTGCCATGTTGGATCATTCCAACATGTTACAGGGAGAATGTCTTCTATTTTGGTAACACTTAAAAGACGGAGCTTCAAAGACCAAGTCCTAAATATTCTGCCACATTCTCCCTTGAATTAGGCCTTTTGGCTAACAAACTTGGTAAGTTTTAGAAGATTAATTGTTTGTTCTGCAAAATTTTATTAAGCCTATTTAAAAATATAACTGACAGAACCTAGTGACTGGTTGGGATTAACTGAAATGAACTAACGTACTCAAAAGAAAGTACTCAGGGAACCAGCAGTTAGCTTAATGGCTATATCGCTGGACTCCCACGTAGTCGACCGTGGTTCGTGTCCCGGACCCGGTGGCTTAAAAAAACTCACGCCGGGCGTGTGTGCGTGCGTGCCCAAGATCCCGAGAGGAGAATGGAGAAGGGATTGCGGTGTGACCATCCCCCCTGGGGGGTGATTTCTCGCTTTCTGTCTCTATGTCTCTCTCTGTCTGTCTGGCGAGCGCACGCGCCCTACAGTGAAAATCTCTCAAAAAAAAAAAAAAGAAAGAAAGTACTCAGAATAGTGGCTGGAATATAGTTTTATATGAGGTTACTATTATTTTAATTTTACTTGGTAAAACAGAAAGACAGTGACAATGAACTGATAATGAGAATATACAGTAACTGAGGATATAAAATACTTAAGAGAGGAATGGAGAAAAATAATGACTATCTCCCCCTCCCCCACCTCACCCTCAAAAAAGTTCTGGTTCTGTGCAGAGGATTAAGCACTACATTGGGAAAAGTATATCACATGGCCAACTATAGTTTGCACCCAAGATCTGGCAGCTTGAAAAACATGCCAAGGGTGTGTGCATGCATGTCTAAAATCCCAACAGAGAACTGGAGGAAGAAGGATTGCAGTAGATCATACCCCATTGGGGGACACTTTCTCTCTCTCCCTTTCTCTTTGTAGTGAGTGCATAAATTCTCTAGTAATTAAAAAACGAGCAAACACAAATTCTATTTGGATATATTGAATTTGGGAAGTCTATAGCTCATTTAGGGGGATAAAGCCAGTAAAAAATGTAAGTCTCAGTGATGGAAGTGTGCTGTACAAGATATCTGAAAAGTGAATTCTGACATTTTTGTGTGACTGCACATAAAGATGGACCAGTTGTAATTCCTCGGTGTTTCATGTCTAACAAGATTAATGCATCTATAAACATGTTCGGAGGCATTACATTTTTGTTGTTGTTGTTCACTAGTAAATCAATCGCACCCTGGTTTACCTACAACATGGAATTAATTAAGATAAGGAAAAGTGAGAAACCGACATTTGGACAGTTGGGGGAGGGGACTCTGAAGCTTCTTTGATTACTATTAAATCCCTGTAGTCTGTGCACCATGGCAACCTTCCCAGTTTGCCACCTAATTTCCATCTGCTTTAAGGAAGGAAGGAGGCTGGACAGAGGTGACTCAATGTGCATTCTTCTGAGTGTGAGTAATTTGGGTCAATGAAATGCAAGCAAATTATAAATTGTGTTTCATGGAAGCTGAGATTATCTACTGTCTTCTCAGGTTTCTTCTCTTTCTTCTTTTCTAGCGATGTCTTTGCACCTCTTCAAGTTTGTCCCCTTTTTTCAAATGTCAGATTTCATTAGTAGGCTTGAATAAACTACCAGCCCAATGTATCAGAACAAAATTACAAATTGAAATGTGTACCTCAGAACATAAATATTTTGTTACAAACAGTGGTTTGGTAAATGACTATTGGTGAATGCTACAGAGCATTGTATTCCAATGCCAGAGAAACATTTTTAATATTACAGAGTACAGTTATTTATCATTAACATGTATCTCTGCTATACATATGAAAATCCTTCCCAAAACAGACGAAACTCAGTTATCGGAATGACCACAGATAATTGTTTCATAGTTATCTAGAAAAAAAAAAAAAGACTATTACTAAGCAATATTGCATTGTGTTAACTAGAGACGGAGAAAAAAATTAAGCTTTACTTACAATCCTGAATTCTAGATGTGGAATCACAGTCTTACCTCAATTGTTAGCGTTGGAATTTGGCCAACATGAATTCAGAAGATAGTCTTTAAAGGTCACACACAGCAAGAGCCGATTCACTGAGTATATTGATTGGTTCTGAAACATAAAATGAACCTAAATGTAAATTCAGTATATCAGCATAATTATATCCATTCCTTTGTTTTCTTTTAATTATTTATTTTATTCATTCATTTTAATTTGATCAGAGAGAGAGGGGGGAGGAGTGAGAAAGCAAACCGCCAGATTTGGGATTCGAGCTGTGGTCAGCCGTGTGGGAGTATCCAGCGCCTTAACCACCACACCACCTGCTGGCCCCTGTTTTTTTTGTTTGTTTGTTTTGTTGTGTGTGTGTGTGTGTGTGTGTGTGTTTGCTGTAGGGCACATGAACTCACCAGAGAGAGAGAATGGCCATGCTATAATCTCTTCTTCTCCACTCTCCTTTCAAGATATTTTGGACACACATGAGGACACAACTGGCTCGATTCTCAAACTGCCAGGTTTGGGACTCAAACTGTGAAGCTAGCCATGTGGAATCCAATGCCTTAATGTACACCTGCTGCCCCATTTTCTGTTTTTTATTTTTATGTTATTTTTAATTTGTCAGAGAGCATGTGTTCTCACCCAAGAGAGATGAGAGAGAAACTGAGAGGACACCCCCAATGGGCCATAGTTACACTGCAATCTTTTCTTCTCCATTTTTACCTCCTTTTGGGAATTTGGGCATGCATGTTCATGCACTTGGAGTGTTTCTGAAGCTACTGGTCCATGACCCAAACCACATGGTCAGCCACGTGGGGTGTGGCTGCCTTAACCACCAGGCTATGGAGCCAGCACATTCTTCCTTTGAATTTCTATAACACTATTCAAAGTAGTAAAAAACAGATTGTGGGAACCAGCAGTTGGCGTAATGGCTATGTCGCTGGACTCCCACGTAGTTGACCGCAGTTTGAGTCCCGGACCGGGTGGCTTGAACTCACGCCGGGAGCATGTGTCTGCGTGCCCAAGATCCCAAGAGGAGAATGGAGGAGAAGGGATTGCGGCGTGGCCATCCCCCCT